TATAATCCCCTTTATTTACCTACATTTAATTGAAGACATCTGTAGGTGGTGCCACACAAAATGTAATTCAGACTTAGAAACGTCAATAAAAATGTCTGTAAGGAAGAGGGCCGATGTGAACCTAGTAGGGGAGTGCACATCAGCAACCACGGAGCCACATGAAATTAGGAATATAATGGAAATATGTTGCCTGACTTGACGAGGTGATAAAAGCTCTTTTCCCATAAAGCTTAATGAGCTCTATTAGTCTTCAGCTTACAGGAATGCAAAAGGGTCAGCCCCACAGAGGGAAGTAACTGACTCTCCACACATGGCTCCATTCAAATGACAGCAGATCAAGTTACTGATGTAATTACTGTAACCTGACAATTTCGTTAGATTCATGTGGCAGTTAACGGTTTAGGACTTACAACCAAGGGACATGGCTCATTCATACTAGTTTCAGTGAAGTTTAAAGTATCCTTCATTTTCTGCTGCAAGACTCATGTATTTTATGGTCTCTACCAGATTTTTCTTTTAATCAAAATTAGGGAAGGTGTTTGGGTATTTACTGTATGTGTAACTTTCCTTCTCCAGCTAAAACACGAGCTCAATGGCAAAATTAAGCATTTGGGACTCCTAACACTCTCCTGCTTTGGCTTTGCTTTGGCTCGCAGGCTCTGTGAGGTGGCAAAGGAACAGAATCCTGGGCTCAGTGCTGTTGAAAATTTGGGGTAGCAGCCACTAACTAGGTCATCAGGAAGCCCCTGCAAAATTCCAACAGAAAGCCCTCAAAGTATATCCCAAAAATACTTCAAGCAAAGAAAAGCACATTGGTTATCTGTAATTTTGACTTCTTTTTCCTTTCCCAAGTCCATAAGCTCAGTAAGAAAAGAGATATTTAAACAAGGTAAAACACAACTCCAGATCATTAAGTGGAGAAAGCAGATCAGACAGAAAACAACAGAAACTATCACTAAAATTTGATCATACTTTCCCTCTACTCTTCACCAAAGAGTAAAGCTTTTGCACATAGATTCTCAATATTTAACCAGATAAAATAAAAAAAAAAATTTGGTATAACTCTAGCTGTACAGTTGGTAAACTCCAAGCCCTATCTATACCTGAGAGCGTCCAAAGATGAAAAAAGACAAAGATCCTGATCTTAAGTAGCTACAATCTTGCTAGAAAGACTGTTAACCATATTGGAACACAAATATCAGGACTTGTGTGTTTTTAGCTGACCGCTGCCAAATTATGGGTAAAACCCTGTTCCTTGCAGCCTCAGCCCCACCTAGCTCATTCATTCATTCATCCAACCATTCATTCAAAAATATTTACCCACATGGCTCAGTGGGTTAAGCCTCTGTCTTTGGCTCAGGTCATGGTCTCAGGGTCCTGGGATTGAGTCCCGCATCAGGCTCTCTGTTCAGTGGCGAGCCTGCTTCTCTGTCTCCCTCTGCCTGCCTCTCTGCCTACTTGTGGTCAAATAAATAAATAAAATAAAATAAAATAAAAATATTTACCCACAGCCTCCACTGTACTATTACTACTAAAACCAGACACACAGACGAAACAAGAAAAACAGGGTCCTCTCTCACTGGGCTTACATTTGAGAAAAGTCTATCGGTGAGGTCTGTTTACAAGGATCTTTGCCCCAGTAGTGCCGCGGACAGCAAGCTCCAGCCAGCCTCCTTACTCACGCCATGTCCAGGTAAGCCAATCCAGCCTAAATGTCTTCTGCTCAAACCCATTCTTCCTGGTTACCCCTCAGAGCTCTTGCTGAAATCAGAGTCCAACCTGAGACGGTAAGCAGCATTCTCTTCACCTAAGCTCCTACAATTTCTCCCCACCCACCTTCTTCCTACAAAACTAGACCCTGTTTGCACATCAATCAAACTTGCCTGATGTACTTTCCAAACACTGATGACAAAAGCCACCGCTAAAAACCTACCAAGGTTTCTCTTCTCCCCGTTGTGGCTCCTTCATGGAAAAGCAAAGGGTCAAACAATTTAACATCTTGTATATCTTCTTTGTAACTAATTTCTGTATGCTTAAATTATTTTTAAAATGAGATTTACATGTATAACTTTACATCCTACTTCTATCCCTGTTTTGTTGATCAACACACACTCATGAATATGTACATGCATAATTCCCACTTTAATAGTTGTCAAGCGTTCTGTCAGTAATAGGGCTATCCGTGCCATTATTTACTTGACCTTCTCCTACTGCTGGACATTTAGACTGTTTATAATTTTTTTGCCATTACAAGTCATGCTGTAATAAACATTTATGCAAGTTTTGTCCTCACTTCTGATTATTTCTCTGGCAGTGATCCTTAGACTAGAACTACTCGGGCACACAACCCACAGATACGAATTTATATAGATGACCAAACTGATTTCTCTAAAAGACAAAGTTTAAAAACATTCCATCCTATCAGATCTTCCCAAGCATTCATTAAAAAAAAAAAAAGATATCTAAATAGGTAAGCAAGCATTTATCACTGTTCTTTTAAACTATACTTCTTTGATTACTTACAAGGTTAAACATTTTTTTTTTAAGATTTTATTTATTTTATTTGACAGACAGAGATTACAAGTAGGTAAAGAGGCAGGCAGAGAGAGAGGAGGAAGCAGGCTCCCTGCCAAGCAGGGAGCCTGATGTGGGGCTCGATCCCAGGACCCCAGGATCATGACCTGAGCCGAAGGCAGAGGCTTCAACCCACTGAGCCACCCAGGCGCCCCTACAAGGTTAAACTCTTAAAACATTTATTACCATTGGTATTTCACCACACTATCTCATAAAATACAACCAAAAGTTATGGGAAAGAAAATAGTACATTTTAAAATTGATTCTAGGAGATCATTAAGTATAATAACCTTATCACACCTTCCCCAAACTGCCTTCTATCTATATACATTTTAATGAACAAAATTAAGGATTTTTTTTTTAAGATTTTGTTTATTTATTTATTTGACAGAGAAAGACACAGGGAGAGAGGGATCACAGGCAGGGGGAGTGGGAGAAGGAGAAGCAGGCTTCCAGCTGAGCAGGGAGCCGGACGTGGGGCTCAATCCCAGGACTCCGGGATCATGACCCGAGCTGAAGGCAGACACTTAACAACCGAGCCACCCAGGCACCCCCAAAATTAAGGATTTTTAACAGAAGCAAATCTCATTTTTCAATCCTTTCCTTTGTGATACTTCCCATCCTACTGTGCTTATAAAATGCTTCAACTAAAGAGTAAATTATATAATTTATACTGTCTTCAAATTTCTTATGGTTTGCTTTTTGATTGTTCTTGCAATAAACTTTAGAATTCTATGTGACAGGCATTGTGCTCAGTGTTTGTCACACACTATTTCATTTTGTTTTAATAACCTAAAATATCACCATTTCCATTTTTAGATTAACTAAAAGATGAAATGACTTGCTCATGGGCCAACATTTCAAAGCCCATAGTCTGTCCAAACAGAGCTTTGTTTCCCCCTTGATGCTGGATTACTTAGAAAATGTAACCAAACCTGAATGGTACTCTCTGGCCTCGTCAGTTTCCTTTGACGATCATCAAACTGGTCTCTAAGAGTATTCAGTGTGCCAGACTGGGCTACACCGTATACCCACAATGCTTCAGTAATTTCGTGAACACAGTGTCACAGAAGCAGAAAAGGGAACAACTGCCTCTGTGTGCAGAGGTACAGAAGGGCCGGGCAGTGGACAAAGCGTGAAGGCTCAACCTGAAGACGGACAGGATTTGGACAAGTTGGGAACAGGGGAAGGGAACATAAAGGCAATATAAACAGAAGCAAAAGAAAGAACAAAGGAAAGGCAGAGAACAGCGTCTTACTGTGTGGGGCTGCAGTACAGCCCAAGAGGAAAATACGAAATATTACTAAGGTTTGAGTAGCACTTTATTTACTAAACTCACTTGAACTCATGATCCTGGGATCAAGACCTGAGCCTCAGCTACCCAGGTGTCCCTGAGTAGCACTTTAAAAATGCTGCTATGGGGGCGCCTGGGTGGCTCAGTGGGTTAAAGCCTCTGCCTTCGGCTCAGGTCATGATCCCAGGGTCCTGGGATCGAGCCCCGCATCGGGCTCTCTGATCAGCAGGGAGCCTGCTTACCCCTCTCTCTCTCTCTGCCTGCCTCTCTGCCTGCTTGTGATCTCTCTCTCTGTCAAATAAATAAAATCTTAAAAAAAAAAATGCTGCTATGTCCACTGCTTCATTGGACAGATAGGAATTATCACCTGCGTTTTAAAGATAACAAAATCCAGGTGCAGGGAAGTTGCTATTTGCCCAGTGTGACAGTAAGGGAAGGAATGCTCTGAAACCCAGCTTTGCTTCTGAGAGCGAGCATCTCGCCACAGAATCTGCTGCCTCCTCTGTCCTTCTCCTTCCTCCAAGCCTTACCCATCTTGTGTCAACTCACAAGTCAGGTGCTTTTCCTAAATATCTTTATACCACAGTGTTATCACTGGAAACTCAGCTCTACGCTGCAGAAGGAGTATGAGGACTCAAGGTGGCAGTGCACTGGGAGAGGGAGAAGGGAAAGGAAAGGAGAGAAGTTGGGGAGGGAGACAGAGGAAGGGAGCATGCCTGCGTTTAAGAAAGGCTCAGTAACAGGTAAATCCTTTGTTCTTTGCTTATCAATTCAGGGGTTTGAAAAAGTGCTCTCAAACCAACAGAAACTTGCCTGACAATAGCACCCCTCCCCAACACCCCCCACAACTCCTCCAGCTCTCAGTTAATGCCAGGGCAGTTAAGACAATTCCGCTAGTGTCAACAGTTGCGAATGAAACAGATACAATAAGGCTCTTTAGAATGCAAGACTGATTTCTTACAGGAATTCTTATTCTAAAAAAAGTCCGTATTCATCTCATTACCATTATTGAAGAGTATGCGTTAAAACAAAATGATCACCTCTAAATTACCAAATAAGTGCCTAACAAAACATGCCAATAGTGATGTCCCATTAGTGATCCTAGTATTAATATCAGGGAGTAAACTCTTACCTCCAGAGGGGAGCTGCAAAGGAACCTTGTAAACTGCAGAGTCACGTTTGAATATCAGGATCAGTTTCATCCAAGAAATGCGCAACAAAAGACAACAAAAAAGGAAAAATTATTATTACATATCTTTTCAATAACAGCATCTAAAGTAAACTTTAAAGTCTGCAAAATTAACATTTTTGATCTATTGTGTAGTTCATCCACAGAGTAGAGAAATCACAGGTGGTATCCAGCTATTTGAATTAAATAAAATCTGTATAAAAATGAATTAAAGCCCAACAAATTAGTCTTAAAAGCTTTCCTTTTTTAAGGTTTCATCTTACAACCCCTACATAATATCACATCCTCCACAGCAATCTTCCTGGCAATGAATGCCACAGGCGAAATTAAGTAAAGGCCAAGAGAAGGCAAAGATAGAAACCAAAGGGGAACCAAGAAAAGAAATAAAGAGTCAAGACCAGGCAAGGAGGCTGGGGAGCAAGGGTGAAAGGAGGAGAGTCCGGCCCACTCTGGGGCCTGGCCACAGCGTTCACCCTGTTCTCTCTCAGCACACATGCTTCCTCGCTCTCTCTACTATCTCCTTCTCTGACACATGCCAAGGCTTACAGAATTTCATCTGAAACTAAGTGTTATACATGCCATTGCTCAGCATTTAAATAAAGAAACATATATTTTGGCAGGGTAGGGAGGAGCCAAGAACAAATGACAAAGCAAACCGCAGGTCAGCTCTGGGGTGAGGACTGTCACATAACGCCACATACATTCGTGATGATAATTCACAATGTTTTTTAGCTGTTATTTATAAAATCAACATTTCAAATCCTTTGAGAGTTACTGGAGTAGTAAAATACCCAAGTAGTATAAACTCTTGATCTTTCTAAATGCAAAATAACTACAATAAAATGCAGTAACAGGCTTGTTTCCAAGCACTCTTGAACTCCCTCTCCACAACAAAGCTAGCGAGTACTCACAGGGAATACAAATAATTTGATTCTCTTTTAGAGATACACATTGAAACATTTCTCAATGAAATTACATGATGTCTGGGATTTCCTTCAAAATCACTGGGGGCTGTCAGGAGGGAACTATTGTAGGATAGTGTGTAGATCAAACAAGACTGGCCATTATATTAAACTGGTGAGGACAGGAGATGAATATATGCAGATTCATTATAGAACTCTTTCTACTTTGTGAATATTTCTAGTTTTCTATAGTAAAGTTTAAAAAGTATATCAGACACTTCCTCCCCACAAAGCTAAAGCAAATATATTTGTAAAATGTTACTAGTGCACACCAAAGCCATGTAATTAACTACTATCATTCAGGTCCCGTTACTTAAGGAAACTTTTTCTTAATTTAAATATCAATATACAATTTGATTATATTAACTGTTAAGAGAACTTTCTGAAAGTGCAAGATATACCAAAATTTTAAGTTTTCATAATGCTGATAGGTAACAAATTAATTCTGTTGAAATTTAAAGGGCAACCTTGTGATCTTGGATTATTTTCACAGTAGCCCAACACAAGACTATCCCTACCCTTCCTCCCAGGACTAAAAAGAAAGAACTGAAAGACTAGCCAGTTTTAACAGTGGAGAAAAATGAGGTATGGAGAATTTTTATCTCAAAATGAGAAATAGGCTCTTGCCCGGTTTCTGGCCACTATGTGCATATTAGTGACGTGGTACACATTATACTTTAGGACTTAGAAGTAGTTCTGGTTCAGTAGTAACTGATGTGTCAGTTAGGATGGAAGTCACTTGACTTTAAATAACAATCAAGAGAAACACATGATTACTCTCCAAGAAAATGAGGGTCTCCCTGTGGATCCAGTAACTGACACACACCTTTGTCACATGTATATGTAACATTCCTGTCACAGCTTTTTCAAAATAGACCTAAAAATTCCTATGCTGCTTGAAGCTGCCAAAACATGAAGTACATAAGTAGACGTTCTCAATTCCCAAACCAGTAAAAACAGAATAATAAATCACAAGGTGCACATTCACTCTCCTTCTCAAAGGACATGAAAAAGTCCAAAAATGCTATTTCTCAATTAGTACACCAGAAAACCCACGGCTAGTTCCCTTCAGTTAATTAATTAGTAAATTTTCATTGTGAAATGACACATATTATATTCAACACAAATGGTAATACTTTGAAAAAGAACTACAAAAAAGCAAATTAATTACAAAATATATTTGTACATACACTCTGATGCCATCAGAATGTCTGATCAGTATAAAAATGGCTCAATGATGCTGTTACAACAACAAAAAAGAGTATGGCCACAGTCTATAGTCCACATTAACACCACTTTTCTAACATAGTTATACTAATATGTCTACTTAAAAAATATTATGTTATGGGCATAGTTAAGTTAGTAAGTTTAAGGGAAAGATCCTATTTTAGATATTTAGGCAAAATGTTGAGAAACTAAACTTAATATGTTTACAAAACATCTTACTGATTTTACAGACAGGAATATACTTCATCATTTTAGAAACAACTGGAAATAAATATAGCCACAGCTTTAATCTATTTTATCTATTTTATTTTATCTATTTTAAAGACTACTTCTAAGACATGTTGATTTAATACAGTTGAAAATAGGAACAACCTCCCTGACATCTGGCTTTTCAAACACAAACAGGTTTCTCGTTACAACATCAGTAACATTACTACCTGGACTCAGTTGCTAAAATTCATAAAAATGTTGTCAATTATCTCATCTACTCTTGAATTTTTAAAGAAGATTTTATTTATTTGATAGAAAGCAAGAGAGCATAAGCAGGGGGGAGCAGCAGAGAGAGGGAGAAGTAGGCTCCCTCCTGAGCTGGATCCCAGGACCCTGGGATCATGACCTGAGGAAGGCAGACGCTTCACCGACTGAGCCATGCAGGCGCCCCTGAATTTTTTTTTAAATAAGAAGAAGTACGTTCTGTATTTAGCATTCAGGCATAAAGGGTATCAGTACTATTTTAAAAACTTTTCAGGCCTCTAAAAAGGGAAAAAGGATAGACCCAGATCAGTTCTCATGTTCCACACTACTTACTGACCTTCCTTCTCTTAAGTATTCTTACCACCTCTAGCTCCATCCGTAGCCTACGTCATAACACCCTCTCGTTCCTTCCAGAAAAGCACTTAGTGCTTACCAAAATTTTCTCAACAGTTTTTCAAGCACAAAATTTAGCTAAACTTCTTGTCAGTTATGATCAGGAAGTTCTTTCTTTTTCCAAGACTTGTTATTAACCGTGCCAGTTATGCTGAGGGCAGTGGGGGTAGGGGGGACTGGATGGGGGAGAGGAGGGGAGGGGGAAGGAGGAAAGAAGGAGAGAAGAATGCACACCACTGGTTTTGTCAAAATAGCCTGGCAAGGGGCGCCTGGGTGGCTCAGTCGGTTAAAGCCTCTGCCTTCAGCTCAGGTCATGATCCCAGGTCCTGGGATCGAGCCCCGCATTGGGCTCTCCGCTCAGCAGAGAGTCTGTTTCCTCCTATCTCTCTCTGCCTGCTTCTCTGCCTACTTGTGATCTCTGTCTGTCAAATAAATAAATAAAAAATCTTTAAAAAAAAATAGCCTGGCAAAACTATGATCAACCATTTATCTTTGCAATAGAAAACATTCAACATGTAAGTAATATAAGCTACTATATTCCTGAAATGCCTTTTCTTTTTAATAAGGAACCATGTTAAATCCTATATTTTAACAAAAAAAGAAACATTAAACAGCAATTTTTTTATAAGACATAACTTTTTTTTTCTAAATCAAAGAACGTAAGTGAGTTACGCCTACTTGTCAAAGTGGAGTTCAAGTCTTTCACGTAACTGTTCACACGATTACCCAAAGTGTCCCCGCATTAACCAAATGCTGCCACTGCTCCTGCTCCCTGGATCTTTCACCACGGCACATGGCACTTACAAACTGTCAGGGGACAAGTCTAACGATTTTAGGCTATAACCTAACAAAATCTTTATTTAAAACCTGTATCATACCTCCATGGAAGATGCTAAGTTTTCCTACCAGGAATTTGGCAGTTTTGATTCAGTTAAGAGTCTAAATTAAGTTAATTGAGGCTCCCTTTCCATTCTCCCATAACTGCTGGTACATATTTGGTACTATATTTGGAAATTGACTGTTTTAAGGCAGTGCAGGAACTAAGTTTTGTTAAGAATGTGTTTCTCATGAATCTCCAACTCTTAGACATTAATCTGATTCTACAGAAGAAAACAGTTTTATTATTTCATTTCACTGCAGAAAAACAAAACCTTCAAAAGCAGCCTACACAGCTAACACCCATCTAACAAGTCATCCAGAGAATGGAATTAAATCTGTACTTAGCAGGCAATGACAGCTAAAGTCTGAGGACAAAGATCTTGTTTACCCTGACTTTAGTGGGGGAGAAAACAGAACAGATTCAAGCAATCCTTAACTTCCTTTCTAGAGTTGCTCTCTAATCCACCTGCCGGCAAGGTGGCTAAAGGGACTAACACTTGCACTGGCTTATTTGGTTAGACCTGGAGCCCTTGGACTAGCCATTAAGCTTCAATAAATCTTAAAAGATGACAAAGAAAATCATACTTACATCCTAATGTATTTAAATCTATGTCCCCTAAGCCACTAAATGCCCTTCTTTTGTCAACAGAAAGGAAGAACAATGATCTAAGAGTCGATCTGGAATCTCACTAGATTCATCTACTTGAGTGAGTACCTTCAATTATTGGGGCCATAGTTTTCTACCTGTAAAATGATTTCAGCCAAACCAGTTTCACCAAAAGGTACTGGGGCACACCAAGTTACTGAGACACTCTCTAAAACATGACTCCATGGCCACAGAGGTTCAAGAAATGCTGCGTATTATTGCTGCCTCACCTCCCCTTCCTCATCCTAGAGAATTATAAGGTACACTGACAAATTGAAGGCTTTAAGAATTCCTGCCATTAAAAACAAGAAACCTTACAAGATGAGTAAGTTCTGAGGATTGAAAGCACAGCATTGTGATCGTAGGTAACAACACTGTACAATATAGTGCAAGTT